GGGGGGGTGCGGGAAATCACAGCTAGTGACTGGGATTGCTTCTATTACAAAAAAAAAAAAAAAAATAGAAACATTCCACACACACAAAATCCAGTTACTCTGCCTAGCCCAAGCAATGCTGTTTCTTTCACCTGGGTCTTCCACTGTGTGGCAGAAAGGGAGATTTGTTTCTAACGCTACTGAGAAGGGACCTTATTTCCAAAACCATCTGATGTTCAAGAACCACTGATTCCATTTCTACTCCGCCATCTAACAGGTCTCCAAGACATCATAGGGATGTTAAGAAAATGGGGTGGGAAGAGACCTCACTTCGCACCCTTGCAACCAAACATCTACAGGAGCATGCATTTCACTGAAGCCCAGCTACAAACCTGAAGTTTAAACAAGTCGAATGGGGAAGAGATGGGGTGGGAGAGGAGTGGGGGGAGGGAGGAGGAAATGCATGTGTGCACTCACAGGGCTGCACCCTGTGGGTTTTTGTTTGGGTTTTTTTTTCCCCCCACAAGTAAATGTTAAGTGCTTGATTCTCTGTTGAATGGTTGTTCATACAGGCATACACCTTGAACATAGGAGCCCTTTGCAGTTCCCAGAGAAAACAGAATCACAGACAATTCGATTCATAGACTGTAAAGCCAGAAGGGACCTTGGAAGATTACTGGGTCCAGCCCCCTGCACCAGGCAGCAAAGATAACTGGGGGTCTGGTGAAGACAGCAAGGTGACCGTTTAGTCTCCTTTTAAAGATTTCCTGGTTAGGCGATTGCACCACCTCTGGAGGGATCTTATTCCACAGGGCTGGAAATGACCTCAAGAAGTCATCCACTCTGTTGTTTCTCAACCCATGGGTCACGACACAAAAGTGGGTTGCAAGGAATATATGAAAGGGTTGCAAACAAACTTAAAAAAAAAAAAAAAAAAAAAAAAGGATCAGACTTCAAAAATGGATTCTCTTTTAAAAGGAGAAAAACGTGGGAAACGGTAGCTTCCCCCTTGCAGGCTGGCAGAGCTCCAGCCTGCCAGGGGTTGGTTGGCCCACCTTCCAATGCCCCGCACCCTGGGGGGCCAGGGGCTGGGGATCGGTCATCAATATTTACAAATGGGTCCTGGTCCAAAAATAAAGGTCGAGAACCACTGATCTAGTCCTCTAATCTAGGACAGGCTGGCCGGTCATCTTGCTGGGGTCGCCTGACCCCACCCGTCAGTTCTCCTGCCTGGTGCAGAGGGCTGCACCCCATGATCTTCGGAGGTCCCTTCCAGCCGATGAATCCCAGCCAGGGCCTGTCCCCGTCCAGGGGCTACTGCCAGATGTCAACCCCCCCCAAAAAGAAAGAAAAAGAGACACCTGCTTTCCCCTCAAGCCGCTCCTGAGACAGCAGCAGGCAAGAAGCAGGATC